AGCGGATTTTGGTTGGAAAAACATTTTTTGATGTCACTGCATTCGTGGTGAGATATGAGTTAATGAGAAAGAGGAAGATATCAAGACATTCTGGGCCACAAATTGAGATTCTGGAGAACAGTGGCTGGACTCGCATGCTAATTACGAACCTCTGAAATCAGACTTTGAACTATTTTGGCTGCTCAGCCCGAGAGTTTTGAAGGAGCCCATCCCTCCTCAGACTGATGACCTAGAAATCCAGGCATTCGTTCACATCCTCCCCTTACCTTCTCTTCAGGACTCAGAAATCTGAAGCGTCCTGCCCCTTCCCCAAACACCAAGGGGCAACCCCTCCAGCCAAACTCCTGTTTGGTTCCAGGTTTGTGGCCCTTCCCGCACCAACCCTAGTGTTATGATTGATGACCTCCTGACCCCGTGCTCTCCAGGGGACCCAGGGGCCATAGAGATGACTTGGATGGACGTCCCTGGTGACAAACTCTTAGAGCCTGTGGTTTGCATGGTAAGTGTCCAGCTGGGACAGAGGACAGCATAGAGCCCAGAACAGTGGGGGCTTGGGTCTAAGAATAAAAATAAGCTTCTCTTCTTCTCTGTCCTGGGCTGTTGTGGTTCCTCCTAAGCAGATTTGCCTTTGGGGTTCCTGCCGTTAGACTCTGGGAGCCTGGGGTGGAGGCTATAGCATTTTCTTCACCAAGGAGTAGAGGCCAGGTGATGTGACTACCTCATTCCGTGGGTTTGGCCTGTTTTGCGCACAGAAGGAACCAGTAAATGTGTGTCAGCACGTTGTGACTTGATGCAGTTGCACAGGCAGCCTCTCAGCTGACTAGTCTTCCATCTCTCCTCATCTTAGTCTTGCTCATTTTGTGTGGCAAATGTCTGCCTTTGTCGCTGGTGTGGTGGGTGGTGGGCATGCAGTTAGAGCTGCTCATGGGAGTTAAGAGATGATAGGAGCTTAGATTCTTTCAGACCAGAAATAGGCCAGTCTGGAAATGACATGAGCTGCCTCAGGAGAGAAGAGC